ATTATTATTATTATTATTATTATTATATAGACGATATTATTTAAACATATGAAAAAACCTAAAAAATAGGAATTGTATTTACAATACGATGCATACGAAAAAAAATAAAAAATAAAAGTAGTGAATTGATTGGGAACTGTGTTTTAAGTTTTTTATCGACGCGATGATGATTATTCATAATTATATTATACTAGCTGATCTCTGTGCACTTCGTTACCCATTGAAAATACCAACTCCATATGATTCAAAACTTGTATTTAATTCGTCGTTTAATACCCAGCTATATAATTGATTTCATTTGGCATTTTAAGCAAGTCAATTATGATAACCTAATGTTGATGAATATTGCGAAWATGCGAAATAAATTATGCGAAAACAATAATAAATAATTCACAACCTTAAGTTTGAAATCAATATCAATCTTACAAAAAAAACAACCTTTAGCACATTTTTTGGGTCAAAAGATGGTGAAACTATTGCATTTTTTAGTATGGTAATTTTCTTACCCSCACAACTTTTTTGGACTAAATCTATGCCAAAATCTGCTTCACAATGTATTCTTTCATTAAAAAAAAAATCAAGGGGATCTGATAAGTAGTTTCAGAGTTTACTCTGTACAAAGATTTTCATTTCGTATTTATATAGTTAGATTAAAATTGTTATTTATTATATGATAATTTATTTATTATAATATCATTAATACGATCTCATACCAAAATAACCATGTGAAAATATGGTTGGGTCAACGATAAAAATTGTTAAGACTTTTGTACTAGCAATACAACAATTAAGTGTGATATGTGACTTTTAACCTTAGAAATGTATAGTTATTATTCATTTTCAACATTTATTACACCACAATCATAAATGGAATAATATTAATTACTAACATTATAAAAATTAAATTAGTACGTTAGAGCTATCTAAAATATATTATTTAAAAGACAAATTATATGTTTATTTTCATAGAGTTAATAAAGCTTTAAAATCTATGGTCATTAGCCTGAAGGTCATTTAGTAGGCTTTTTTTTAACTGTGGAGAGGATACGGTCGGCAGAACACGTGTATATGTGGCTAGGACTTGTCTCTAAAATCCAGGTGGTCCATTGAGGAAATATTAACACCGGCTGATCATTGGATCTATACACTGTACACAAGTTAAGTGTGAACGAGTGTTTTCAAAATTAAAAATTTTAAAAACCAAACATAAATCTTCATTGAGCCAGCAATATTTGGATCCTTTAACTATTCT